AAAGCATAAAAGTGAAAGTTTACTCCTATTTTAAGATATCAGCATGTACATTGGGCATTGAGGTTTGCCCTTGAATACGTGGTGTAAGAATGAATGAAGTGCAAGGATTATGTGGAAGATAGCATGGAAGCACTGGTGGCTGGCCGAAATGAAGAAAGAACATATCAACATAGTATTCAGTCATCTCCTTCTCTAGCTGCCAAATCTCGGTCTCAGTCCAAAGCCAAGTTGTTCTATCCTTTGCTATGATTTTCGGCTTCTGTCCCACCCAAGTCTGCATCAGTTGGCGCAACGAACATAGATACAGAGCACAATCAAACCAATTTGGATGAGCAAAACCCATATTTGCACTTCCAACATCAGCAACCGTGATGGGACCAGCGAAGCAGCGTGATACAGCAGTTTCACGAGCAGTGTTGTGATTAGGTGCGGCAACTTGCATCATATGGTCCAGCTCTGCAAGCTCCAAATGGAATTCCAGCTCTGAAATCTCCCATACAATTGATGGTCTGCAGCTGTCAACTCGGCAAATGGCTTTCCTCTCCAGAAGACAGATTCTTTTTCTGCAGTTCCTAAGTCCATTTCAATCTTGTCACAGCATCCTTTGAGAAACTCCCTCATTTTGTCCTGCCGTTTAGCAGCTTTAGTGTCACTGCTTTCTTGTTGGGATGCCATGCCGAGGTAGTTGAGCGATACGAGAGTCTTCCAGCTATTCTGATCCATAAGAGCAGGAGTGTAGAAGGTCGATGAAAGGCGAGCAATCATGGGAACGCAAATACGTAGCCAGAACTTGAACATCATCTGTATTTTATGGGGATTCTTAGCAGTAGTAAGACAAGAAGGAGGAGGCAAGGCATATCCACGTGGTTTTGCGCCGACAGATCCAATGCAACGAGATTTATCAAACACAAGAGTGGATAAGCCATGACCCCAAACAGCAACAACAGGTGGAAGGAATGAATGTGCAGGCATCCGATCAACAAAACACTTTGAAGAAGACGACGAGTTATTATTCAGTGATTGCCGAGAGTCTAGAAAGATGTTAAATTTGTGTGCAGAAGACTGAAACGCAGAGAAACTAACAAGGCGACATTTTTCGGCCTTTTCTTGATGATATGGGAGACAATGTTGATGCAGGGATGGGAGGATTAATTAATGGAAGTGAGCCAGTGCTTTGCGTCCAAGTAAAAACATTCAGGAATCGGACGTGGCTACATGTAAACCTGTCAAAGGCATAGTATTTTTTGGCAGTCAATCCATGACCTTTGAAGATAGGGCAGAACTTAGCACGATGCTGGTCAAGGGGCATGAAGAAATGTGGCTCTCGGAAATGATCTGTCTTGTCGATACAGATGTTTGGAAGTTGATCGACATGCCAAATGATCCACACTGGAATCCCTGCATGGAAAAAGCTCTGCGCAATCTGAGCATCATTCGTAAATGCTCCCATCAGCTCAGGATCTGCTTTTCGTGGCACTGAACTGTCTGCTGCAGTATCCATACAGGGTTTATAGATCAACATATAATCTATCAGCACCTGCAAATAGAGTACAACATGCTGAGTCTCCCACACACTTAATTGCACCTTTTCAAGAGACATGGGAAGGTGCTGAAGGCATTCCAGAAGGTCATGGAGCAACACCATATAGCCATGCTTTAAATCCTCAGCCCCTTCAGAAAATGTTGCCCCCTTCCCACGTTCTACAGTTTTATCTACCCATTTTTGGAACCAGACAAACTTATGATGGAGTAGGAATCCTGGACCCCTACATTCACCAGCAGAATCAGCTTTGTAGAAGTCAGTCTTGCTCGGAAGCCAGTATAGCAGAGCGTCGGGATGGGAATCAGATGGGTTCAATAGTGCAGAACGAATAATGGGAAAATGACAATATTGAGAGACGTATGGTTGAGGCTAAGACAGAGGGTCATCGTCCCCATAGTGGAGATCCAAACGAAGATACATGACTCGATTGCTTCCAAGTGGCGGGGCGCATAATGCACTAGCATTTGGTGTGGTAACAATGAATTTATCATACAAGCTGCCCAAAGCTCCATCGAAGGCCGACACTTCTGTAAGACAGATCAAATATCATCAGTTTAGGGTTGAACAAGAGGATGAGAGTCGGACGAACTTGCGTCGGGGTTCCTCTTGTGGAGTAACAGCTCTGGATGCAGTTTAAGATTTTGAAGGGAAACATCAGGCATAATTCTAGAGGTAGCAATGTTATAAAGTGAAATGAAATAAAAGAGAGTATACTCACGAACAATCTAGGGTACTGAAGACGAAGTTAATACTGATCAGTCAATCCTTCTGTAGCTGAGAAGACCGTTATAAGGAGGCCTATCAACGGGCCAATGGCGGATATCACACCCTCATGTAGCAGTTACATGTATCACCGAAAAGAAGAGCGTCGGACTAAAGGAAAGTAAAATCCACCGATGCATGGTACAAGTGGAACTGGCGACAATATGTACAGCCACAGATAAAATAGAAGAAAAAAGATACATGTACCAAGACTTGAGAAATTTGAGCGTTTCATTCAGAATACATGGGATCGAAGTCTTGAGATGAAAGAGCAGGTCAAACGCAATGTGCATGTGATAGAAGGCTTTGATAAACAAAGTCACGTTATTGGTGAACAAACAATGAAACATGTCGACTTGTCACTCACCATCGATACCGTTCACCCTCAGGACTGTACATACTGTCGTCCCTGCAGTCTGTACTTTGCGTCGACTGCTTGATGCTTCCTTCTCCACTGTCAAGGTTTCTGTTTCTTTCGAGCATCGTACTGACTGCCGCAAGTCCAAAAGATTGTGATGCCATACTGTCCAATGTCCATCCCCATACTTCCTCAGTGAGTCTTATGGTGCATGTTCAAAATTTTTTTAATTCCTCACCTTCTCTGAGTAGCCACAGCTCGTGTTGCACATAACTGAGGGTATCCGACGCCACATAATAAGCTCGTGAACGTCGGTTGTCAGTGTTTAGGAAGATGGTATGTGATGTGATTTATGCTTGTTCAGAGAATGTATGCTCACTGTTCTAGTTATTATTGTTTATCATAGAAGTGTTTTTTTTGGCCTAAGTCGATTTTACAACCCCAATTTTGCATCTATAAGGCTGTATAGGATTGAAGAAAATGGCATCCCTTACCTACCCATGGCTACTAGCAGAAAACGAAGTGCACCAAGTACCAACGCTGGATCTTCCCAGAACACGTGTTGTACTAGAAGTTCACATAGGGAGCCTCATGTTGAGCTGGCACCTTCGTTGGGTGTAGCCAACGCACAGATGTCTGCACCTTCCAGATCTCATACTCATTCCTCTGGTTCATCCGATGGACCTGTTCATTCTGATACTTCCTCGCATCCAGAGCTTCGTTCTGTATCCCCGCCAGTGCCTGAGCAGCCACCTACAACTTCGCAGGTACCACCCATGCCTAGCATGCAAATAATGTTTCGCATTCAAGGTGAGTACATCCATGTCTTACACTTCTCATATTCATTATTATCATTCGATACATTAGGGTATAATCACTGTTGGCCAGCTCCAACAGCACCCATGCAGTCACTTGCACCGGGACCTCCTCGCTCTCCTATGCAATCTCCCAACCCTCAAGCTTTCGAGCATCGTCGTCCCACCGAGTCCATGCCAGCCCCAGGTCCTCGACACGTGCATTTCGAAGATGACCAGGAAAGTTCTGACGAAGATTTCCCTGAGCCACCGCTGCCACTGTCATCCTCAGAAGACAAAGATGATCATCCTGAAACCCCTCGACGACCGTCAGCGTCTCGCCAAACACTGCGGACACCTATGTCTCGATGTCTCCCATTAGCCACAGCACGTTGACTCTCTAGAACTCCAGGCACCCCTCGACAGCTTGCTCACGCCGCTGCTGGTCAGAAGAATAAAAACCATCGCGCAGCTCGTGATATCTGGTCTTTCTATGTGAAGACAGGGGACCGCCATCATTGCGCATTTTGCACGTACGTATGATGCCATTTAGTATTATCGACAGCACAGTAACTCTTTCTTTACAGCGCTGAAGACTTTGAAGACAGCGATAACATTGCAAAGCAATCCGATTTTGGGCTGAAAACTAGCACCAATATCCTACGGCATCACTTACTCGACTTCCATGTTACTGCATGGTTGACAAAGTGTGAACAATTGGACATTGAAGTTCATATGAAGCAGAAAGCGTACCGGGATGCCATTAACAACTTTCAAATCAAACAAGGCAAGCAACTACCATCATCCAGTGGCACTATGTGGCGTCCGTATTCGAAAGAGTCATTCATCGATGCACTGGTCAGTTGGATTGTCGCTGATGACCAAGTCTGTAAATATTTCTTTCTCTGATTGCCTGTATGCCGCTGACAAAATCCCAGTCCATCAATGTTATTGAGAATCCACACCTTCGTGCCATATTCTTGATGCTACGCGAAGGTCTTAAAGAGTCCGACATTCCACATCGCTCTTCCCTACGAGCCCGTATCCTTCAAATGTGGGATGAATATATAGATAACCTGTCATCGGAATTGAAGGTAACTATTTATGGGCTCTAAGAACTGACACTGTCTCAACTAACTTCTTTTCAATGCTAGGGATCTATGGGACGCATTTCTTTCATGACTGATCTTTGGACAGACTTTTATATGCATCCCTTTATGGTGATCACCTGCCATTGGATTGAGAACAAGATTGTCGATGGTCGAGCTATGCTTCACCTACGTTCAGATTTGATAGGTTTCCATCGTGTTCCTGGGCATCATTCAGGGGAACACCTTGCTGAGGTATTTGTATACATTCTGGATCGCCTTCACATCACGTCCAGGATTGGCTGGATTACTTGTGATAATGCAACAAACAACGATACGATGATGGACCATCTGGAGTTACTGTTGCTACGGCGGTTTCCGGATATGCACTTTGAACGGGTGGATAATCGAATTCGGTGGGCATTTTCCATTGTATGTCAGGGCTGTTTCTCAACTATCTTGGACAGGTGTTTTCCTCACATTGTGAATCTTGCTTGTCATGATGTTGAGCGAGCGATTGATCAAATGCAGTATGGGCCCGGAACTAGGAGTGCTTTAGTTAACGTGACTCAGAATCCTATTGCCACCCTGCATGCACTAATTAAAGCAGTAAGTAGATTGTCATTCTTCCATGGCAAAGGTGCTAAAGTAAACAATTTAGGTTCGTTCATCATCGCTTCATCGTGAGGCCTTTTCCAAGAAAGTTGCCCAAGCAAAACTTGGTTCTCTTCAGTTGCTTCGTGATGTCGATGTTCAATGGTCTTTCACAGATATCATGATTGAGCGAGCACTCCTTCTGCATCAGGTATGGTACTGCATATTGCTTCGTTTCCGCTACTGAATGTATGTATCTGCAGCCTATCCTTATGTTTCTGCAGTGTCGAGAGCAGCGTGATCTTCAAAAACATCAGCTGAGTGACAATGAATGGACAGTTCTTCAACTTTTCCATGAAATATTATGTGTAAGGCCTATTTATTTGCCTCGTTGATCTTTCTGACATGGACATCAAGGTTCTTCATGCTTTCCAACAAAGGCTGTCAGCTGAGAAAACACCGACACTTTGTGATGCCCTTCCATCCTTCTCTGCATTCATTTTGTGATGGCGTTCACTTTAAGAACAGATGCCTGAAATGAAGGATATTATTCAGGCTGGTCTTGAAAAGCTGGAAGACTATTTCCTTAAGGTTATGCATATCCCTGCATATAACTTTGCTATGAGTAAGTCTCATTTCCAATTGTCATTATATTCTAACATGTCTCGCAGTCTTGAATCCAAAGATGAAGTTACGTTGGTATGAGCGCCATGAACTGCATAAATTGGAGTGGGCAAAAAATCTATTTATGCAAGAGGTATTCTTTTGATGTTCTTGTTTTGATATCAGACTGATGTCTGGTATAGCTTCAGCGCTATTCCTCAGCTCCTCTGATGTCTGCTATCCCTTCACAAACATGTGACTGGACAGATGACATTCTCGAGTTCGACATCCCAACTGGAAACTCGATGCAGAATACACTTCAATGAGAGTTTGATGCATACCTTCTTGATCTGCAAGTTTTATCAAGCACATTATTATTTTGGCAGGTATGTATGCTGCTATGCTCCCTGTTTCTTTGCCCTACTTATATGTTCACACAGGAAAACTGTACACATTATCCAACCATGTTTTTGATGGCTATGGATATCCTCCCGATCCAAGGATCATCCATGCCTTGTGAGCGAGTTTTCTCATCGGGAAAGCAGACAACTACGGATTGCCGATCCCGTATCACACTGGAACTCATGGAAGCACTGCAAATGCTGAAATTTGGCATGAAGCACAATGTGTCGGCACTCAATTTTATGCGACAGTATGATAAAGAGGCACAGACAGCTGCTTTGGAGGCATTAATGGAAGATGAAACAACAGTTCCTGTTGAAATTAACGAGTTTGTACGCTCTCTGGACATCTTCGAGGAAGTAATTGATATTGAGTAGTAATTGTAATATATATGTTTCCTAATTTGGTATAAGCCAACGACTCGGTAAAAGTAAATGGCTCGGAGCTGAGCTGAGCTGAAGTCATTAAATTGTTTTGACTCTGAAGCCGATCCGGAGCCGAGTCGCATTGAGTCGAGCCGTGGCAACATTACCCTCCTTCCCCTCCTTCTATATAGGGTAATAATATAACTATATTTGGAGTACTTAGTAATTATATTTCACCATTGGCAAACTACTCACAATTTGCTGGTTACATGCCGGACCCTGCCACAAGTGACTTTAGCAACAAAAAAGACTAGAATGTGTGTCAGAATGTTCAAAAGTATCACATTTAGAGTATATTATTGACTCATGACTCATACCTCATGGGGGCATTTCCAACTGCTATATAGGGTAAGTTGGTTTTGTGTTTAAGGTTGGGACCCCTCCCCCCCTCTCCCCCTACCCCCTTTGCCAGATTTTAGCTGTGCTGCCCTCTTGAGTATTTTCGACAGCCCTAATGTGAGCTTCAATGATGGGAACCAGGAAAGCTAGTGTCTTGCCTGCATGCACAGACTGATCAAGAAAGCGGAGAGTCTGCTCCGAAAGTTGGCACTGAGGCCTGGCCCTTCTTTTTGCACAAAATGCTCAAAAGAGGAAGCAGGTTGATTGAAGGATGATTTGAGCTAGAATATGTATGAATACAGTATGATTGAAACATGATTACAATATGATGACCAGCCACATTGAAGCAGATGGTTTTGTGTGATTCTGACAGAACAGCTGTGTACCCACAGAATCCCATTAAATCACACAATATCAGTTGAAATCCTAAGAATTCTTATACTATCATCATAAATCACATGAAATCTTGCTTTTTGTCCAGTAAAGACACTCATAGGTATGCCGGTGGAATATCGTAGGTCTGAGAGATAAGATAGGTAGGTTTGGGGTTCTGGAAGATAAGGATAAGATAAGATAAGAAAAATAGGGGTAAAGTCATAATAATACCCCCCAACTAAGACTGTCATTCTGACAGTCATTAGATATACTCACTCCCTGAGTCAAGGGAGTTAGTAGATTCCATATCCCATTCATAATCTTCAGTTTGTCTCCAAGCAGACATGCCCTGTTCTTGTATCCATGAGCTAGGGTCAGTTTGAGTCATAAGAGGAGACACTGAGCACTTGTCTTTAAAGATGTCTTCATCTGTGTCTGATGAATAATAGCCCTGCTCGTCTGAGACTGGAAAGACTGTTGAGTTCTTGGTTGAAGAGCCAGGAGATAATATGATTATACATCCCCCTGGATTCTCCAAGTGTCGCAAATCATGATTCTCTATGTGGTCTTCCTTGTTCTTGTAGTGTTTGACAAGTTCTTCGGCATTGGCAAGGTTACTCCTCTTGACCCAGGTAGCTTCTTTAACTGGATATCCCTTTCATTTGACTAAATATTCCATTATGGTCCTCTGGTTTCATCCTTGACCAATAATACGGTCGTGATCCTGAAGTAGTTCCTCTACTTCATATTCTTCCTCACCATCCACAAGCTCTGGCTTGGGTGGCAGTGGTTTTTCCTGGTTGAGAAACTCCAGGGGGACATCACTTGTTGAATTTGTTGTGGATCCTCCAACCTGGTGGTAGCTTTAGCTTGTATGCAGAGGACCTCTTCTGCAAGATTATCTCAAAGGGTCTGATGCATTTGTCATCTAGCTTTTTTGCCAGTCATAGGAGGTGAAAGTTGGTTGAGTCCAACCAGACTTTATTGCCTGGTTGGTACTCCTGCACAGGATGAGTGTGTTTATTGTAAGCCTTTCTCATAACCTCGGCAGCTTTATTCAGAGAGTGTTCCACCTGCTCATGTACTCTCTGGAGGCTTTCAACAAAGTCAGTTACTGATGGTGTTTCTGATGGCCTCACCATGGTTGGGCAAATTTCTCCATCTCATCCAAAGACAAGTTTGATGGGGGAAAAGCCTGTTGCAGAGTGTTGGCAGTTATTGTGAGCGAATGCTGCCCATTGCAGCCATTCACTCCAATTGTCCTGTTTGTGGTTAACGAAGACTCAAAGGTATTTTTTGAGCTCTTGGTTAACCTGCTTCATTTGTCCATTCATCTGTGGGTGATAGGCCTTTGACAGATTTCCTTGAATATTCATCATTGCATATAGTTCGGTGATGAATTTCGAGATGAATTGGGGTCCTCAGTCAGAAATGACCTTAGAGGGAGTTACCCCAAATCAGCAAATGATCTCGTCATATAGGATCTTAGCCCACCCACTTGATGAGAGTTCCTTCATGCATGGAATCAGCACAATGTATTTTGAGAATCGGTCTATAATGACTAGTACTGTGTTGTAGCCTTTGGATTCTGGAAATCCAGTGACCATGTTGACTGAAACATGTTCCCAGGATCGAGATGGTACAGTGTTAGGATGTAGCGGAGCTGCCTTCCACTGCATGTCAGTCTTCATCTGTTGACATGCTTCGCATCCCTGCACATGGGTTTCCACATCTCTTCACAGCCTTGGCCACCAGTATTCTCTTAAGACCAATTCTTTGGTCTTGTCAATACCTGGGTGCCTTATGGAGATGTGATCGTGAAAATGGGAGATGAGTTCTCCCTGCAATGCATGGTTGCAAGGGATATAAATACATCCCATCATAAAATATTAGGTGGTCTCTTTTGATGACCTCCTTTTTGTGGTTGAGGCTGGTAGCAATCCTTGGTCTCACCATTGGTGATCACTTGTTGCTCTCCTGATTTTGCCATGGATTTCCTCCTCAGTTGGCATTATCAGGGCTTGGAAGAATTCCAGTTTTAAGAGGACAATATCGTCGTTGTCCCTCTTGCCTTGGTCATGAT